AATAATTTTCTTAATTAAAACTTTAGAATAACTTTATTTTAATATATCATTGTAAAAATTAAAAAAAAAATTATATTCAATTCGATTTGATCAAATATTTGATTTGATTTGATTTGATTTGACAAATATTTGATTCAATTTGATTTGATTCGATCAAATTCAAATTGATTCAAATTGACTCAATCAAATATTTGAGTTCAATTTGATTTGATTTGATTTTGAGGAACCCTAGGTGTAATTATACATTTGTAACTCTATCATCCATTGAGCTCTTCTACCTTTAGAAATTTTTGAAGTTTAAAGCTATTTAAGAACTGAATAATCCATTATCAATATAAATAGTGCTGCATACAGATAATTATAGAAATGCTAAACTGTCCAAATTACTGCAAGACACTCTTGATCTGTGACTGAATAATTCTGTTTAGCTTTAGTGAGACTTCTACTTATATACTAAAATTATGAAAAGATAGATTTTGAGTTACCATCTTTAAATAACATATTTTTTTATATTAGCTAATATTTGATCATAAAATTCAAGATTTTATAGATTATTAAAGTAAATAAGTATTATATTTATTGTAAAATAAGTTAATTTTTATAATGTTACTTGTCTTCAAATAAGTTTTCAAAAATACTTAATAAAAAAATAAATTGAAAACTTTTTGTAAATATGTTTTATATATCAACTTAATGTATCTAAAAGAAAAATATTTTCAATCATTTAGAATGAGATATAGTAATTCAATTAATATTTGATGCTAAAGTGAAAAGTTAAGATTATGACATTTTTATTTATAATTTTATCATATAAAAAATGTATTTTAAAGTAACAAAAGAAAAAATATATATATTCTTAATTCATTATGCAAAGATTATCTGATACTTATGAAAATAATAAAAAGAAATCTTTATATTTTAAGGCTTCTTCAATTATTAAACAAAAAGTATAAAAAGATAATGCAGAAATATTCCAAATCAAATAACTTATAAGAAGAAAAAAAGAAAGATATATAAAAACTATTTTAAGCATTATTCTATTTATCATTAATAATTCTTTAGTATATCTAACATACTTAAGTATAAATTACTTTGTGATGATTAAATTCCAATAGAAAGATGTAGAAGATATTAAGACAAATGATTTAAAGTTTACTTATAAAGACTTCCAATTGAAACTTTCTTTTGATAATTCAAGAAAATATAATATTTTAAATTTAATTCTTATGACGGTATAATAATATATAAATGTTAAAAAAAACGCGTAAATAAAAAAAAGATGATCAATCGTCAAGATTTTTTTTGATTTTACGTTACACGTATTTTTTAATTTTTCTATTGCGGCTGAAAAAAATTTTTAGATCTTCACATTTTTAACCTAATTAATAAAGTTAATATATATATATATATATCGCATTTAGTTAACTATTTATAGAGGTACTTAATGTGTAACCAGAAATCATAAACAAATAATTTACAATGGCCAATAAAGAATATTGTGCACCGAGGACGAGAAGGAACAAAGTTGAAATGAAGATAATTTACTTTTTTTATAATTTAATAATTTTATTGTAGCCTTATATTTGAATATTTCCTCATTTGAATACATCTTTTATAAAATAACATTGTGCAGAAATTATTCTATTATTCGTAAATTACTAATGTTAAAAAAAAAATTTTACAACTATCCAAACTATCCAAATAAATTTTTTTAAATTAAAAAAAAAATTTATTATTATTATTGAGAAAGATTAGTTTTGTAGCATCATCCAAAAAAAATATTATTGTTTTTTTTTTCGAGTGTTCACAATTATGCCAAAAAATACATTATTTTTTATATTTAATAAGTCTAATAATCCATGAAATATATATATAACAATATTAAATTTTTAAATTTCGTTTATATCCGCTTGAGCATAACTATCGCCACCTTCATTAATACGCATATAAGCACCACTACCTTGTCGTTTTTTAAGTTTTCGGGAGCAAGTGCGTTTGGTTAATCCATTTTGTGGCACGAGGATACCCGTATTGCCACAGTTTAGACTGAAATTTTCAAAAAGATTTCTGAATGACTTTGTTCCGCCATCGCCGGAGGGTTGTACTTTTAATCCTTCTGTGAGATCCTGGAGGACAGTTCCACAATCATCAACGACTTGGAAAGTAAAGTTTTTGTTTGTATCTTGGAAACCTTTGCTGAACAATCCTGTGACGGTCGTAAAACCACATTCGTCCTGAGCATAGACTGTTAAACCTCCAACTGCACCTTCAAAAACTGCTTCGGCGAGAGCGCAGGGGCACTTACTGTCCGTTCTTTTACCCAAAACACCTCTCTTGGATAAACAAGAGGTTCGTTTTTCAAGAGTACTTTCATCAGTTGTTAAAGCTGCAGAAACAGCAATGAGGGATAAGAGAATATAGGCAAAAAATGCCAAAGATATAAATTTATTCATATTAAATTTTTTTTTTTTGTTCTTATATTATTATTATATTATATAATTTTTATTTTCCGTAAAAAAAAGAAAAAGAAAACTAATTTTCGTTAAAATAAAATGGTGGAATGGGTTAACGATGAAAGATAATTGAGTGGGGAGAATACGCCCTTTTTATATCCATCTTAAAGAAAGACTTTTATTTTTTTTTATATTATGTGAGTAAAACGGAGTTCATCAAGTTTTAGAAATAGTGATATTTGCGTTACTATAAACAGAATATTGAAGATGTAGCACCATTGTTTTAAATGGATTCCTTTTTCTATTTTTTTCTAAAAAACCTATAAATTATTTATAATATATTATTATAATTTCATCCTTTTATTAAGGAGGTTTTATGGAACCTTTTTTTTGTGTGTGTGCGTTACGGGTGCACGCCTTACATCGAAATAAAAAAAATTTGATACTTTTATTTCTTTTCTTTTGATATTTTTTGAATTGAAAATTCTATTTTTAAGACCGTGTAACCTTGTCCATTATAAGAAAAGATTTTTTTTTTTTTTTTTTGGATAATGTTTATAGGGGTTAAAACCATATTCATTTGCTACCTTTTGGATAGATAATATAATTAGAATCGAGACATTTGAGTAACGCATCAGAAAGTGTTATGCAGACGTTGATGATTTTATCTTAATTTGGCTTACTAGAGATACATCCTATTGACATAATTATCGGCAGGAGAAAAAAATTTGAATTGTTTTATTTGTAATTCTATACACTCATCGAATAAAAATGTGCCTCGGGCGTACTTCAATATGCACCACTTTGCGAATCGTGTCACGTGAACGATAAACCATGAACGAATTGGATGATTCGTCCATTAAAGGGGGAATGGCTTGGCTAGATTCTTTAAATTATTTATGTGGTTTTCTTTATCCTTTTTTTCGGAAAAAATTTCTAAAAATCAAAAGAAAGGAAGCTCAATAATATTAAAAAAAATCTTTTAACGTATCGCATAATCTGATAATGCACTTCTTTTCATTTGAACAACACAAAGTCTTGGTAGAACTTATTGGGAAAGGAAAAAAAGCTTGCATTTATCTTTTTTTAGATGTTTGCATATTTATTTATAAAATATGTTACATGAATATCTAAAAATATATTCTTGAGCCGTGTTAGCGTAATTAATGTCATGATTGTTATTAGACATTTTTGAAATAGCCGTTAATACCTTTTTCCCGTTCTTAGATTTTCGGAAAATCCGATTTAATTTTTCGAAACACGTTTTTTTTGGTCATCTCGGATAACTGCGGGCAAATTGGCTCCCACTATTTGTGTTTTAATACGTAATGAAAAAAAAACGAGTACTCAGCCAATCTCTGGTATGATTTATTTATGATGTGATATATTTGTGCGTGACATGATCGAATTCAGCCAAACTACTTTTGTATTTGTTCGGATTGTGATGGATTAAAATTTTCATGTTTATTAATATCGTAAAGAATTATAGGTTAATCAATGCAGCTGTTGCATGTAAAAAAGAAAATTTGCATGAAAAAAAAGGAATTCGCATGAATAAAGGAACTTTTTTTTTTTTTGATGAAAGTAAATCATGTAAAGTAAAATTATTTCCAATGAAAAATTAAAATTCATACAGATTATACTTTTAAACAATCAATGGTGTCGATCGATTTCAATCTATTTATTCTTATATATTCTTATTTTAAATATCCTTAAAAGTATAGTCTATTTCATTGATTTCATTGTATGACGTTTTAATGTTACTCATGAATAGTAAATAAATCGGGTATAAGGTTAATAGGATATGACGTTTTCATTCGAAGATTTTAACAAAGAAAAAGTCAGAAAATATGAAACGAACGTTTTTTGTCGGAGATAATTAAAATATTGGATCCGAATATGCATTTATTTATAAAATTTCGTAAAGTCCATTTATTAAAATTATCTTTGTGCATAATCGTTGAAGAAAAATGTTCTTTTCGCATTTGAAACATCTAAAAAAAATTCGTGCTCGAAGTTATTGATTTCGCGCTAAGAAGAAATATATTCTTAAAAAAGGAATAACATATTTTTTTTTTCTGGAAATTAAATAAATAAATATTATTATATTTAGTTAACAACATATGAAAGAAACTAATTTTCGGTCTCTTTATTTTACACATTTGTGGTGATCGTCAAAAAAAAAACAGCGACTATAATCATTCCAAATTTAGAAATCGAGTACCACCCCGCCTTCCGTCACACAATACCACGTTCAGGATTAGAACTTTAAAATTTTTGCCCAAAAATGTAAAAGTATAATTAATAAATCCCTTAAATTAACATACACAGCATAAAAGTATAATTATCAATTAATCTATTATTCTAAAAAAAAAAAATAAATACACGAAATATCCAAAAAAAAAATTTTCTTCTGTAAAATGCAAAAATGGCAATAATTTCCAATATCTACTTAACCTTAAAAATTATGGGCTTTCTTCCTCTTTTCTGATCGGTTCTTTGATTAAATTTAAGTTTGAACTTTTAATTATAATAACGCCAAAAGGTAGATCTAATCATATATGCGGGCGCAATGCGAAAATTAAATTCGATTGGAAATATGTTACACTTTGTGATTGATTCATTTTGTGGGTAATTGCATTTTTAAGAAGGTAATAAATTGAATGCATAACTTATAAGATAAGATCAGTTGTGATAAGAAATATGCCGCTTATACAGTGTACAAGTGTATATATAATACGAATGCAAGTTGTCCAAATAAAAATTCTACAACAAGGAAAGTCTTATTTTAGCATCCTTTAATGATATTTGATGGATGGAATGCTTATGCAATCTTTGTCAAGGGAACGTTAGTTTTCCTGATATAACAAAATAAAGAAATCCTTGTTATCCAATATGAATTGAAGATAAGTTATTTACGGATTATGATCATTTATAGTATTCGTAAATTACTATTGCGTATGACGTGAATTATGCCGTTTTACAAAATTAAAAACTTTTTTTTTACTTTATACCAGATATACAATAACAATCAGAATTTTCAAGGATAATTATTTCTAGTACATTTGCAATATTCATTACTAAACTATATAGATATTTAAATATAAATTTTGTAGTAATGGTTTTTATAAATATTTCTAGACTAAATATTAAAACAAAATTTCAATTTCTTTAAGCCAGAATTTAAAAATTTTTTTTTTTAGCAATCATTGACTTATGGGTTAATTTAACTATTAATAGCCGATCACCAAATTATATTTAATTTTATTTATATTAATTAGAATTATTAAAAACCAAAATTTAGATTTATTTTAAACCAAATTTAATAATATAAATTAATTGTGCTAATTATTTAATTTAATAAATAAATTATCAATTAATTATTATCAATTAATATAATAGTAGAATTTATTAATATTTTTAATAATTTTTATTTATTATAAAAATATATTTATATTATTATTTTTTAAAACTTTTACATTTATAAAAACTCATATCAATAGATATTTAAATCTGCAATTTAAGAGATTTACAATAATTATATATTATTTAATAGATATATTTGTTAGTTTTCTTAAATAATGATATTAAATTCAATAATTATATATTAAAATTATAGATTATTATATATATTTGTAATTTCTTAAATAATGATATTAAATTAAAAATTATTAATAATTTATATTTAAAATATAACTTATATAATTTATATAATTTATAAAATATAACTTATAATTTTACAGAAACTTATATAAATATATATATAAAATTTTATAATTATTTAAATAAAATATTGATTTTAAATTAAGATTTTTATAAAAATTTAATTATTTATTAAAAATTATATTTGATAGATATATTATTTTTTTAATCATTTTGCAAGTAATTTTTTTTTGCAATTTTGTCTATTGATTATAATAAAATAAAAATTAATTAATATTTAAGCTAATTATATATTATTAAAAATTTATTATAAATATTTTTCAATTTATAAAAGAAGTTAATATTAATTATAAATATATGGGAAGCAGTCAGTAGAAAAGGGAAAAATCCAAATTTTGATCAAAATTTATATTATTAGACCACTTAGCTGATCTCGGTTATATGCACAAAATTAGCTTAATAATTAAAATTAACAAAATTTGGGATTTCCACCTTTTCTACTGACTGTCTCCTATATACATATTATTATTAACTAAAAATTCATTATTGAAAAATTGATCAGCAGAAAATTATCAATAATCTACAAAAGTTGCTGAATTTAATTTTATGTTGTTAATCATAAAATTAGAAAATTTGTATAATTTCTAATCTGGTTAATTTTCATTATATTTCTAATATTTCTGATTTTGCTAATTATTCTAAATAAGTCTTATACATTTAATTTTTAATATATTTAATATTTTTATTATATTTCTTATATTTATTATTTATTTTATTTTTTATATATTTATTTACTATTTTTATTACAAAATAAGTTAATTCATAATATTAGAAAAAGTAACACAAATCATTATATTCAGATAATTCTTAAAAATTGTTTTATTTCAGCAAGATAATGCACCTATCCATGTCAGTATAAGAACACAAAATTTTGTTGAAGAAATGGTAATATGTTTACTATCATAGCCTGGACAAAGCCCAGATCTTAACCCTATAGAATACCTATAGGATGAGCTTGAACGTCGCATTCGAGCTAAACAAAACTACCCAAAAAATTTGCAAGAATTGGAAGCACTTCTTCAAGAATGCTGATCTGAAATTTCATGTGAGATTTATTAAAAGCTTATTACAAGTATGGTACATCATATAGAAGCTGTAATCAAAGCTTATGATTATCTCACAAGATATTAACGAATATTTTTTTTAGGTTTTTATATGGGTAAGAATTATATATTATCTTTATAATTTGATTTTTTTAATGAAAAATATCAATTTTTTATTAAAAGTTTTACTATTATTAAAAGTTTTTAATTTTTCAAGATTTTGAAATATTTTTT